TTTGAAGACGAAGCTTCAGTTGTTTGAGGAAGTTCAATAAACTGTTTTTTGGCAGGACGTTGTTGTTGGTCGTTGTTGGATGAAGAAGAGCGAGTCTTGTTAGACTTATTGTTGTTGTTGTTGTTTCCATTTTTTTTTCTGGTCATATTGAAATTGGGGATCAGCGGAAAGAGTTTTTTGGGATGTAATAAATATGTTTAAATATTAAAAATGAAATAAACAAAAATATTTTTATACAAAACATCTGCAATAAATTAGCTAAATAAGATTTTCACTTACATATTTTTTATTTCAATCTATTAATTTCTGAAAAAATAAAGAAAAACATTTATTTTAAGCTTATATTTATAAAATTAAACAATAGAGAATTTTAAAAGGTAGTTTTAGTCAGATAAATCTATTTATACAAAATTCAACCTTAGATTTTAAGCAGGTATAGTATGAACTTTTTGAAGAATTTCACAAAGATTATATTATAACCATAGTCTAAAAAAGTTTTGATTATATATTTTGAAAGTATTTTTCTAGGTTAATTAAGTTCTCTAGTCCTATTAATTAATCACATAACTGAAGATACACATTGTAAAGTTTTATCTAATTATGTAATTTTTATGGTCAAAAAAATCAAAAAAGTTATTTTTTTAAGAGAATAATGTATTCATTTACATTGTTAAAGTCACTTGTTCTTTTTTTTGAATCTTCAAATATTGAAATGCTTTTATAGTCAGCTCAAAACTTTGATATCAATTCGATAAAAATTCATTGATTGTATATTAAGGTTAAAATTTATAAATAGAATTTACAATCTTTAAGTATTATACAATTAAAGTAATAAGTTTTGGAAGAATGAGATGTGATATCTATAAATTACTACTGTAATTTAATTAAGTTTATATCATATTAGATTTAAACTATTATTATAGCAAACGAAGATTCAATAAAATATTTACCTAGATTTTATAAAAATAAAAAAAATTTAATGTATAAAGTTAGTTTTTTTGAAATAAAGATTTAATTATAGTTAATACTTTTATACTTATCTGTATATTTGTATTTAATTAGCATTAATAGTATCTTTTTAAAGATAGATTTAAATTTGTTAATTATTATTAAAATTCTATTAGATTATTTTTTAAAAACTCAGTTAAATGTATAATATTAATATTAAATCTCAATATATAAAATATTAATTTAATGCATAATAAAATGAGTAATATTTTAAAAAATCTAATAAAAATAAAATTCTATAGAAAAAATTTATACATATTTAAATAAGAAATCACAATTGAAAAATGGGTTAATAAATAATTTAAAAATACTAATTGAATTGATAGAAGATATTTTAAGTAATTATCATTAAAAGAAGAATTATTTTTAATTTAAAATTAGTAACAGAAGAAATAATTAAAAATTTATAGAAAATTTTATTAGAAATTAAAGATTCATTAAATATGGATAATAAAACAAAGAAGAATATTAAAGATAAAGTAAGTATATACTTTATTTAATACTATCTAATAATTACTAAATAATAATTGATATAATTACAAAAATTTTATAATTATTTTTACCAATCATAACATTATTTTTTTCAAATAAAAAAAATGTAAAATAATGGATTATAATATTTATAAGCTAATAAGAAATGATAAACTAGATTTTTTCAAGTTTATTCATTATTTAATTCAGTTTTAATAATTAATAAAACTAATTATAAATAATTTTGAAATATATATAATTCTATAATCAGATATTATAATTATCTTTATTAAATCAACAACAAAAAAAAAAACTCATATAATATTTGATCTTTCTATTAAATTTGTAAAAATGTTAGAATAGTAATTGAATATTATATATATAACAAATGATATGTATTATATAATAAAAATAAGATATCTTTCTTTAAAATATTTACTTTAAAAAAGTATTTAAATATTATTTAATATATATATAGTAATTCTTTTAAAACTTTAGCAAATTTAATAATAAAATTTTTAAATAAAATAAATCTAAAATTAAATGGTAATGAGTATAGTAAATATAATAATATAGAAGAAATTTTTAAAAAGTAAAAAAATTGATAATAAGTTAGCATTAGTACATAGTATTTTTGATAGGAATTTCTTATTATTCAAGTGGTTTATTTGAAAAAATTTTTTTCAATATAAAAAATATCAAAAGTTAAACATGATGAATCTAATAAAGTTAATATAAATGAACAATATTATTATTATTTTGATGACTGTAATATAACAATTTTAAGTAAGAAAAATGTAATAAGAATATTAAGTTTTAAATAAAGAAAAATCATGAAATAATATTAAAAAATCTGAATTTTAGGAAAACTGAAATATTTGGATTATGAGAATTTAAAAAAATTTTTCGTCTAATCTAATATAAAATTGTTTTTTATTAAGTAATTTTTCCATTTTTTTAAATTTAAAATATTATTAAAAAAAAAATTTTTAAATTTATAAACTTTTATTAACTTTACAAATTATCAAAAAAATTTTATGTATAATAATAAGATTGTTTAAATCAAAATGTATTATATATATTATTCTAGTACTTAACCATTTTTAAATATTTTTATAATAATTTTCTATCAAATATATTTAATAAGTTTATACTAACAATAATTTAGGATTTCTAAAATTTTTAAATTCTAATTATTTATAAATACATTAAATTAATTTCTAATTTTTTTTTATAGAGTTTGATTCTATTTTATTAGCTGAATTATTCTCTATAAACTTTATCTATTAAAACTTAATAAGCAAGCATTTCTAAATAATAAGCAATAATAAAAAAAATATATTAAAATTAAAAATTTATGAGCAGTATTAAATTATTTTAAAAAATGGCGATTTAAAAGTATTAGATATAAATAAAATATCAGTTAAAATATATATATTATATTTATAAGAAACTGAATTTATTGGTTATTTTGTTTGAATGAATAGAGCATTTACTGTGGATTAGAAAGATAATGGAAGGATTACATATTTTTGGTTACCAGTAGCCGGAGTATGTGTAAAGCGCAGTTTTTCTAATTACAAAACATTTCGAGATAAAGAAGCCTTTCTGAAAAATTAATTTCAATGTTTGATATCCTGTATCATTTAATTTATTTAATTTTATATCGATATTATTTCATATTTAATGATTCTGTCTAAATTTAACATACAAAGTCCAAAATCATGTTTAGCCGCTTAAAATCATGTGAAAAGATCGGTCCAATGAAATTGTCATTCAAAAAAAAATACAAAAGTTAATCTCTTTGGATCAGAAAAATTCTCCCTCTACTTCTATATCCCAAGAATTACTTACCTGGGGTTAATTTTTGTGGTAAGCAATTTTTACAAATAATTATTTCAATATATCATTGCTTTAAATGGCCAGATATATCAAATATTTTTTCTTTTTTTTGATACGAAATAATGGATGGAAATTAAACTGATTAATTTCAGAAATTTTATTCAATTTCACCAAATTTTCTTCAACTTGATCTTTATAATTTACCAATTGATGTAAATTCTTTTGAATATATTAAGAAAACTTTGGGTAATCATAATATAATTCATTTTTTTATTTGTTGATAATAGCATAACTTAAAACTTTAAAGATGGGTCGTGTTATTCGTTCTCAAAGAAAAGGTCCCGGTGGCATTTTCAAGGCTCACACTAGGCTTCGCAAAGGAGCTGCTAAATTAAGACCTTTGGATTATGCTGAACGTAATGGATATACAAGAGGCATTGTTAAAGAGATTATTCACGATCCTGGCCGTGGTGCTCCTCTTGCCAAAGTGCAATTTCGTGATCCTTATCGGTATGTTTTGTAATCTTAATTTGGAGTATTCAATTAGATGTTTTAGATATGTAATTTTAAACAACACTGATGAGTTTTATTTTTTTTTTATTTTTATTTTATTTTATTTTTTAGATACAAACGTCACATCCAAACATTCATTGCTACTGAGGGCATGCATACTGGCCAATTTGTTTATTGTGGAAGAAAAGCCGCTTTAACTGTTGGAAATGTGCTTCCCCTTGGTTCAATGCCCGAAGGTACAATCATTTGCAATGTAGAAGAAAAGATTGGTGATCGTGGTGCTTTAGCTCGTGCTTCAGGCAATTATGCTACTATCATTGGCCATAATCATGATGAAGGCAAGACCCGAATTAAACTTCCTTCTGGCGCTAAGAAAGTTATCAACTCTAGTGCTCGTGCTACGATAGGTATCGTAGCTGGTGGCGGTCGTATTGATAAGCCTTTGCTTAAGGCTGGTCGTGCATATCATAAATATCGTGTAAAGAGAAATTGCTGGCCCAAGACTCGTGGTGTTGCTATGAATCCTGTGGACCATCCTCATGGTGGTGGTAATCATCAACATATTGGTCACGCATCTACAGTCTCCAGAGAAAGTGCTCCCGGACAAAAGGTACAGTTTCTTTATTTCTTTTATAGTATTCATTTTGAAAGCTTTAAATTTCCTAAATAATTTTTATAATATTTTTAATCTTCATCTTAGGTTGGTTTAATTGCAGCCAGAAGAAGCGGTTTGCTTCGTGGTACAAATAAAGTCAAGTCAGCATAATTCACATGAATCTTGTAATAGTGGTAAAATGATTATGATGTGCTCATATCGAAGTTTTCAGATTAATTATTATATACGAATTTATTTGTTATACACAACCTTAATAATATAAGGGAAAGATGATTACAAAATTAATGCTAAATATAAAAAAAAAAATTAAAATTAAAAAGATTCGTTATATTTTGAGCCGCCTGAAATAATCCCCATTCGTATTAATTTTTATCACGTAAAAATGCTTACCTTTAGCGTTCGTAATTCATCCGAAACTTTACCTATCTGTCCACCGGTTTCTTTGACTAATAAACATACATAAGCAATCAATAGATATATATAATATAGGATATTTAAAGTAACAATTTATTTACCTATATTCATTAAATGGTACTCCTGATCATCATATGGAGCATATTTCAATATCAGCTTTTCTAATCCCTTAAGCTGTTTTCTCAACATCGTGATGTCATTTGAAAATCCTTCAAAATCGTGATTTCGCCGCCTTTTCATGTTATTGTAACTTTAAAAAAAATAAATAATAAATTCAACAATTTATTCATTCGTTATAAAATAATTGTAAATGTCAATATATACTTGGCTGTAAGCGTTTCAGCCCTTTTCTGAAGGATTTCAATTTTACGCTTTGAAGATTCTTCATTTTGTTCTTTCTCGGTCTAATTAAAAAAATTAAATATTAAAAAATATAAAAATTTTTGAAGAATAAATTGGCTTACTTTAATTGATTTGATCTCCCTTTCATACTGTTCATTTTGTCGTCTAAGTTCATTAATCGAAGAATCGTATTTTGAAAGTATTCTTGATTCGACTTCCTATAAATGATATGTGATTTTAATAACAATGAAAATAAGATTTAAGACGTATGATAATGATTTTAGTTAGTTTAGTTACTCGCTCGACCGTGTCATTTCTTTCTTTCTCTTTGCGATATTTAACTTTTATATCACCCAATTCTTGCAACACTGAGGTTAAGTTTTCATTAACTCTTCGCTCTTCTGTCATTTTATCTTTTTTGAGCTGAAGTGTTTCTATAATGGAGAATTTTATGCTAGTTAATTTAAATTTAAAATTTTTTCTTAAAAGAAAAAAAATTTCATAACATACCTTTCGTATTCTCGCGATATACATTTTCCATTAGTTGAACTTTTTTTGTCAATTCTTGTATTGTGTTAGCATCTCGTTGACGCCGTCGTGTCTCCTCTTCTGTATAAGTCTGAAGATTCAATTTTAGATTATCTATAATTTCATCATACCCATGTCTCTTGGGAAACAAAACAAAAAATTAACTTTAGTAAAAAAAAAAAAAACATTGCCATTAAATTATAGTATAATCATCGTAATCTGAAATAAACCTGCTCTTCAAGTTGGGAATGTAAAGACTTCACCATCAATTTTAAAGATTCTATCTCATTATCTCGCGGATCTTTAACTCCAGAATTCTATAAAAATTAAATAAGAATTCGACATGACCATATCAACATAACAGAAAATAATGATATTGTAATAATTACTGAATCTTCATCCCGCTTTAACGGTCCGGTAATTGATAATAGATATTGAATTTTCCTACGATCCTGCAAGTCTTGGACTGTTCAATAAATCAATAAGAATGTTTGTTACACGCTTTTATCGGAAAATTACATAGCACAAACTCTGTAATCACAGAATTCATAAACGCGTCTGACTTTCACAACTCGCACCTCTTAGTTCGTCATTCTCGGCAACCACTCTTATGAAACGCTTTCGTTCTTCTGTTAAGAACAATTGTGTGTCACTAAGATCTTTTTTTAAATCTACGATTTCTTGTAAACGTTGTTGAAGATCCCAAGTCAACTTATGTTGTTCTTCATGAGATGTTTTACACTTATCAATCGCGTCAATCGCGTCCTGATATTCTTGTTCAGCCGTCTCTAAAAGGTATTAAAATTTAACTCATTTATTTAAGCATTTTAACTAATTGAATAAAGAGAGTAGGCAATACCACATCTTTCTTGGTAGTAATGTAAAAGGTTTTCAGAAAGTGGAAGTTTTTTTATTTCGTTTTTAGGGTCAAGCATTTTTTTTTTCACAATAATACGTACGTTCCAACAAAATGACATGATAAAGTAAAATCCCACGGTTTCTTAGCACGTGATTTCCGAACCCTGATGTTCGAATTTCCATAAGTTTTGGGGGATTCGTTTTCATAACGCGGCTCAAATATGCACTAATAAAGCTAAAACGAAAGGAAATTTTTCAATCTAACCAACACATAATTTATTTAGATAAACCCCATTTTTTTTTTTTTTTTTTTTAAAAAAAAAAAAAAAGTATGCGAGTCTCCTCTAGTTCAACTAACTCAACTAACTCAACTAACTCTACAACACGTTCACCTTCACCCTCACCTTTCTCGTCTGCCTTATTACAACAATTATCTCGTTCGAATACATTTGCAACCTTGATTCAATCACTGAGTAACAACTCGTCCAGTAGGAGTGACGGGCTGGACGAGTTATTAAATGCACGGATACTGCAGCATGCAGCTACCACGAGCAGACCAAATAGTAGGACGGGGTCTTTGTCTTTACATAGAAGAAGTTCAGTAAGGGATCATAGAGCGATGAAAAGGAAATGGAGAAGCACGCATGGCACTACTGGAGAGTTTGCATTAGGGTTTGACATCGTGCATTGTGACGGTGGTAATTTCAGGTATGTTGTTACTAGGTGATCAAATGTTTACAATAATAGAATTACAGTTTGAAACAAGCGATCGTTAGAATAAAGGGGAAAAGAGCATATAAAGGACAGTTTTATAAAAAAGCATTGAATGTAGACAAATGCGAGTTATAGTTAAGAAAACGGTTGGCTAATCAATATTGAATTTGTTACAACTATGCTTTATAGTAGATATATTAGCAACACCAATAAATATCTCGCACCTTGAACATTTATTTATTAAATTTAAATTTTTTATTACAGTTCAACGTATGATGTTGAAAACATATTAAAAAATGATAATAATGTCTACTGGTGGGTTATCATGTTATTTAATTTGTTTTATAATAAACTGCTAATATTTATTTAAATGACTTTCATTAGTTCAAAGAAGAGTAGCAATGTTAATATCTTGCTCAAATTTTGTGATCCTATCCTAGAAGCTATGGATTCAGCATTCGTACTTTCAAAAATCATCATAAAAGCTCCTACACATGGTTTTACCGCTCCATGTATGTCTTAATTTTTTATAAGACTCCACGTAATAATTAATATTATTGTCCTTTTATATATTTATTAATTTATTTTTATGAATAGGCAAAGAGGGGTTAATTTTTGTCTCTCATGAACCTATATCTCTTGAAGGTAAATTAAATTTATTGAATTTTGTCATACTATTTATATCAATTCTATTCAAGTTAATTCCTTCCTTTTTAAATAGCCACCTCAAAATATGATGACTTTACTGAAGCGGATTACCAAGCATTATTGGAAAGCAATGAAAATGGCAGTATAGATGATTCTTGGCCTGCAGCGTATTTCCGATTAGACTCTATTACAAATATGACAACTCAAGTCTTGCACCCGAATCGGTAAGCATTAAAGCTATGGTTTAACATTATATTATATTATTAATAAGTTAATAACATACTTCTAACACAAAAAAGATCAGGTAAATTCATATCAGTGAAGTTACTTCGAGCAGAAGGTGATGCAGACAATATTGATCTTCAATACCTTGGTTTAATTGGATTTACTGGACCAAGATCATTTGATGCTGGTTCGTTGAGATAGATCGGAAGTTTAGAGGGACAGAATATTTTCTTTTTATTGGTTGGCGTAGACTATGATTTTCGATAAATAGAAGGTTTATTGTTTTCTATATAATAATAGAAAATGAAAGTAGCAATGGTAAATATCAGAGATTTTTATTTTCATTATGCATATATTTATTTTCTCAAATTTATTGAGACTTATAGTACTTAGTTAAGAAAAAAAGACAAGGAACGAAAAAAAAAATATATATAAATATAAATATAAATATATATATACATATATATATTTATATCATTTTTAGAATACTTTAGTGGTGACTTGGGTTGGGTTGGGTTTGGTTTGGTTTGATTTGGTTTTCTGCGAAAGTCGCAAAGCACTTGTTTCGTATTTTGAAATTTGACAATGGATATTTTTCTTATTATACATACATATTTATTTATTTATTTTTGTTTATTTTGAGAAATATATATATGTGTATACTATATATTTAGTATCAAAGTATTTTTTTTTTTTAAAAAAAAAAAAAAGAAAAAAAATTAAATCCTTTTTATTAAATCAATATTTGAAATAATTTATTTGTTTAAATAACATATATACATTCTATTTTTTTTTTTTTTTTTTTTTTTTTTTAATAATAATAATAATAATGTCAAAATCAAATTAAAGATTTTTTTTTATAAATATTTATATATAATATAATTTTATCACATATATAAAGTTTTTTTGTTATAGTCTTTTTATTGTCTATTAAGATTTAATCTAATGTTGCGTATAGTATGTCCATGAATAGTTAATAGTGATTCATTATTTTCATTAGTTTTAATGTTTGTAGCAGGTTCTTGTTCATGAGGCAAGAATTTAACTTTAATATTACTTCCGAACTTCTTTTGTTGCGTATTTTTATCATTTTCTTCCATGTATTGTAACAGTTCTTCTGCTTCTTTCAATAATTTTTCTAATTTAACACCATTTTCATAAGTGATTAGTACACAAGGTATTTCAAATATCCAAATATCTTTATGTTCTTCTGGACTAACAGGTTGAAATAAATAATTATCGTCACTCCATATGACAATACCTTTAGCTCCAGCTTCTTGAGCTCTTAACACTTTTTCTACGAACGTACAAACTCCTCTTTTTACAAATACTATATTACCATCAATAAGGGTTGTTTCTTCAGTATTATAATCTTCACATCCATAAGGTGACGTTATTTGTACAAGCGTTCTTACGGGAAGTTCACTAGTTATTTTAGGACCAAATGATGCTACAGCTGTAAGATAATCAAAACTAGAAACCTCATTACTTAAAGTTGAAATGTAAACTCGAAGAGTTGATGTACTATATGTTTGTTGTTTTATCCAGAATTTTTTTACTGCCGGATCTCTTATCTCAAAAATTTGTCCGGGGTAGATTCTATATAAAAAGTGAGAATAATTAAATTAAATATTTTAAAATATATAATAATTTATTTACGATAATAATTGTATTACCTGTAATTATCCACTACGAAAGAGATACATAATTTATCAATAAAACAATTAATAATCATAAAATTTTACAAGATCAAATAGATATATATAATATACCTTTTGTAACATCATAACCCTTCCTATCAACGCGTTTTGTCAACTCCAATTTCAATCCTTTTAACCGATTTGCAATTAACCCATTAACGTACTTTTCAATCTTCTGTTCTTGTCCCTGATCGTTCAAATCATCTTCAGATGATTCTTGTGAACCCCCAAACTGAACTTCCATAACTTGTAGATCTAATTTTGGTACTTCACATATACCCTTAGGATCCAAAGGTGGTAAAATAAGTTCCTCAAATCCAACCAACTCTCTTATAAAATCTGTATCCGGTCTTGATGCTATTATCGAGTTTGCAAATAAATGTTTTGATGGAGAAGGTTTTTCATATGCGGGACAAATTGAATACTCGATACTACCTTTACTAGGTAGTATGTCAGCATGATTTTTAAGATATTGTTGTGGTAATGGTATAATATGTGCCTCTATTATAATATAATAAAATTAAACAAAACAAAAGGTAACAACTTGATTATTAATATATGAGTTAAATTGAAATTCACAACTTGAAAAAAGAAAATTTGTCCACCAGTGGTAAAAATAAAATTATCATCCAAACTATTAATCCAATTTTCTTTTTTTTTTTTAAAGTGAAAAAGAATAAACGTTAGGATTTTAAATATCAATTAATAATCAATTTAAAAATTAGTGATGCCAAATCATTACCAGTATCAAACAACAGATATAAATACTTAAAAGTTTCACTTAAAGCAAAACTCTCCATACGCCCTTCAAGTTCCTTTGTTAACACATCTTTAACGCTTGCATATCCGCAACCAACACGTGCATAAGATTCTAGATCTTTAATTATCATTTCTCCAACTTGTAAATAAAATGGATCTTTCGTTGCCTAAAGAGAAATAGATTACATCTACATATTTACTTGTTAATACATTTTGACATTTACACATACCCGATAAAGAAAATAAGTAGATTCGATGAACTCGGGACGTAACGGATAAGTTCCCAACTCCACATTTCTCAAATGAAAATCAAATCTTTCTGGCATAGCTTGATATTTTCTCCAAATATTATAATATAATAAATGGGACTTTATAGCATTATCAAGATCACCAGCCAGAACCTACCAAAAAAAAAAAAAAAAAAAAAAAAAAAAAAATTCACAACCGAAACATTCTTGTATAAATAATATCAAAAAAATTTTTTTTTTTTTTTTTTAAACCACTTAATTGTTTCACCTGCAAACCTGGAAAATAGGCCGATAAACTATCAATCCAGCTTGAAACTAATCCTCCATTCATCATATTAACATTTCTATAAAAATATCCAGTTTCATCTCTAATATATCGGAGAACAGCATGATAAGCCTCGTTAAACATGTCCAAATATTCCGTTTCCCCAAATAACACGTAAGCTTTCAACAAGTATTCATAAAATGAATCTATTCCTGATCCTGTGCTAGCCGCTTTATATATCCATTGTCCTGTTTGCAAATTTATTACATTCCCAAGAAGGTTTAAATCTGTTCGTCGATTCCATAGACCAAAAAGTGCTTGCTTTGCTACGTCCTAGAAGAATAAATAAAGGGTATTTAGTTGACATAGCATAAGTAATGACACGTGAAATAACAAATTTATACCTCAAATCGAGTATCGTTCGTTAATCTACTTAGTACACCAAATTCAATTATTAGTGTTCCAGCTGCAGCGGTACAAGTTTCATGTGTTTCATATTTAGATACCCCATATTTTAAATTAACCTAGATTTCATATATAACAATTGATATCATAAAAGCTTATTATCAGATTCCATAAACATAATGTCTCAACTTTACTAACCCTAGCATAAGGAATTCCTGTCTTCGAATTATGGAAAGCAGGTAATAATCGTTTACCTAAATCATGAGCCAGTTTCAATAACTCATTAGCGTATCCCTCTATGATAAAACCAAATCTTGGATCTGTAGCGAATAAATGCGCTGACAACTTTTTTTTAAATAATATAAAATGAATCAAAATTAATATAAAATTTAATAAAAAATAAATAAGTTTAACATTTTGCTACATACCAATGCTCCTAATGCGCGAATATTTACTTCAAATACTTGTACTTTACTATTTACATCAAATGATACATATTTTATTACGTCACGAACTGCCTTTTCGAATCCTTCCTTATCATTGAATACCTATATAAGTTATCATATTTTAATATATAGATATAAATCCAAGTATGATTTGAAATATAAATAAAAATGATACGTTACAACAAATGCATCTAACGAATCCACCAGCGTTAATGAGTAATCTCCAAGCACGTCATTTATTATAGTATTATGTCTAGAATTTATTTAATGAAATTCGAATTAATATAAGAACGCAATTGAAAATAAAATATTAAAATATTACCGAAAAAAAAATATACTTGCGGATCATTCTTATCACTTCCTAAACCAATACAACGTAAAGGATTTAGCTAAAAATTTCCAAAAAAAAATTAAAATTAAAAAAAAAAAATAAGAAATAGATTCAAAGCAAAGGCAAATCAACTTTTCTAATTTACCTCGTCATCGGGGAACGCATGGTTCATATAATTATCAAACGCATGATAAAACATATCCTATATAACAAAAATCAGGGTTTAAAAATTAGAGAATCTTCATTAATAATTATATGAAAAAATGAAATTTTCTCTTTCAAAGCTCTATTACTTATTAAATGATCTTTCTATTTCTAAATAAAGTTTTGAATTTCAAGCAAATTCGGATAAGATATTAAAATGATATTATTAGTTATACCTTTGCCTGTAATCTATTAAATATAAATAAATTATTAGTTAACTTTCTCTTGAAATAAGAAGCAATCAGGACAAAGTCAATTCTAATAACTCACTTTAAATCATTTATTTTCCGTTCGCTCATTCCACTAACACTTTTTACCACTATTGACAACATAAATGTAAACCAAAATAACATTTTTATAGTGCTAAAATAAAAAGACCTATAATAGAACGTATTTTTATGCAACGAACTATGCGATTGTCGTACGGAAACTCCATGCTGAAAATTATAAGTTAATCGCATTTTACAATTAAGAAAGGAAGCAATTTAGTTTTTTTTTTAAAAAAAAAAAAAAGCTTGACAATGTATTGGTTAATTAGATATAACTGCGAAGGTACTCATTTGAGCATATTTGATTGATAACCAATAGGAGCAAGAGAAGAAAGTAATCACCTTTTATTATTTATATATGACGCAAATAAAAAATTGGGCTGAGCGAGTCGAATAAATTTTCATCTTTATGATTAATTCCTTTTAAATATACAATATTAATTTTTGCTGTGAAAATTTAAGCAGTGACTGATTTCTTTCATTCATGTCTTTTCCCACAAATATTCCCAAACACAAAGGAGCGAACAAGCCCTATCATATGTTGTTTAAAATGTACTAGAATATTTCTTTTTTGGAAGGTTGCACTCGAAGGTCGCCACATTTTGAATTTTCCGAAAACATCCGCAAGCTTGTAAATAAAAAAAGTTGAAAATCTTCTCACGATTCCATTTTTGTAAATAGGTTTATATTGTATAAAAAAAAAAAAAGTGTTATAAATACCAAGCGAAATTGGTTGATATCGATATTATTTCATACTTCTTTCGCTTCACAATAAATATTTTTTTTTTCTTCGATTAAATTTTCTTTTTTATTCTTCTTTGAGTCACGAAAAACTTTTTTATATCAAATCTTATACAAAAAAAAATATACACGATGTTGGAATTAATTGCATATATGGCTTATTTTTGTGCTTTTATAGTCATAGCACCCGCTTTGCTTATATTATTAGTTGATCTCTCATATCTGGCTATTGGGTCTGCTTATAACACCTTCAAAAAACTTGAATCAAAGTATCGTTATTCAAATAACACCACCTCCGCCAAGACTTTGATGAGCTCAACGGGTTTAACTAATACGAATACTTGTAATTGAATTTGCTTGGTGAGAATTATTTCCTAAAATCTAGAATCTAATTAAGCATGGCTTCACATGTTAATGTTTTTTTCGTTCGCGCAGTAAGTTGTTCATCTAGGCGATTATTGGAACCTTCTTATCGAGTGGCAATCTTTTCCCTCAAAAAATTTCTCATTTTTTTTTTCTTCAAAGAAAACACAATATGAATTAATACTTTACAATTGAATAATTCATGTATAAATATATTCATTTGTGTTCACTTTTTTTTCGTGACAGTAATTATTAAACCCATTTTTTTTCAAATCAGTTTTGAATGTGATTGTTAAATTCCGATTATGTTATGATAAAATATAACTCTAATCCTAATCAATATCAGATTTCAACTTATTAGGTTAATGTCTTCCCAATATCGGAGACACGACACGTGATAATATATAATAATTTGTCACTCGTTCGAAATTATTATGGAATAAGAGAAAATATTACACGTTACGCCACTTTAACACATGTAGCAGCATGTGCTGTATTTAATGTATAAATTTTGATATATTAGAATAATAAAAAATAAAAAATGAAGTTTGGAATTATATATAATAATTTAACAATATTAGAATTAAATGTCAGTTTACTCTACTAATAAAAGTCCCTTGAATAGCTAATACATTATTTTTTGACAAAAAATTATTTTAATTTTAAATTATATAAATAACATATGGAAGTTATTGGATTAAAATATAATAATATTTTAATTTTAGTCAAAAAAAAATTCCCAAACTTCCTATATCTTTAATTCTATATCTTATTAAAATCGTAAATTAATTATCAATTATTTGCTAAATATATTATTTAAATTATTAATTATAATAGGGAACGGGGAACCATTGTTAAGTCCGGAACGATCTTAACTAAAAAAAAATATTGCAAAAGCCAATCAGCATCGACTCAATTTTTGAGCGGGCTGACATCGGGACACTTTGCGTAAACATATAAGTCCTTCACTTCGTTCGGACTAATAAATTATAATAAACTTTACAGAAACTTGGTTTTCTTAATATGCAGTAACTGCAAAGTGACTATAAAGTAAATATATAGTTACTACCTTACTTAGTAGTAGCTTAATCGCAGCCTAATAGGTACTATTCAGTTACTGCATAGTAAGGAAACAAAGTTTCTGTAAAGAATTTATTATTAGTTTATTTATATATTTAAATAAAATATAATAACGATAATAATTTTTTTTTAAAAAATATAAATAACTAGCAAATTATTTTTTATATAAAAATATTATAAATTAACTAATAAAAAATTAAAATAATCAAAAAATTTAAAAAATATGATATAATATAATATATAAAATATATAATAACTTATAAAAACTTATAATTTATTAATATAAATATTAAATATGATTTTTAAATTTTAAACTTAAAAAATTTATATAAAATTTGATATTATTAATATGTATTTTTTACAAATTATAATAGGTAAACAAAATGTATGAAAGTTAAAAAACTCTTAAAGTTTATATAATAAAATAAATAATTATATTTATATTATAAAGTATTTAAGTAATTTATAATAGATTTAAATACTTTTTTTTATAAAAATTTACATAAAATATAAAGATACATATAATAATAAATAACTAAAAGAATGAATATAATAAAAAAAAATAATTAATAATTATTTTTATTATGATTAATTAAAGTTTTATATATTGTATTTTTTTGAAAATAAGTATTTAGTGATATGCTTCTTTATAGTAATTTATTTATTTATCATATTATTTTTATTATATTATTTATCATATATATACTAATAAAATGTATATATTTTACAGTATGCTTATTTTCAAAAGAATATGATATAATATATTAATTATATCAAATATATTAAATAAATATATCAAATATATAAATATATTTATTAATTTAATAATTTAAAGAGTACAATTATTTACTTTTACAACTTTACCTTTTAATATAAAAAGGTAAAAAAGGTCATATTGTAAAATCAAGAAATCTTAAAATGACATATTACATAATTTTTTTAATAAAGTAGTAAATATTAAAAAAATAATATTATTAGAAAATTAGGAAACAACTAATTGAATAGAAGTTATAAAAGAAAAATAATTAGCTAAAAATCACATGATATTAAGCAAAGTCAAGTCATAAAATAAAGAAAAAAGATTAATTAAAATCATAATACATAATATAAAATACATAATAACAAATCATATATTAAATAATACAAATATATTACATAATAAGAAATACAAAATATAGTCAACTCTCTATAAATACATTTTTTATAAATATATACCCTTTATATATGCACTTTTTTATCTGATTTCAACTTGGACCTTAGTGCTAAATGCACATTTTTATATATATATACTCTCTGTAAATGCATTCTTTATAAAAAATTTTATATAGTGTAACAGGATTGGATTGATGGACGTGGCGCAGCATATTGCAGATCTAAATGTCAGACATATTTGATATATTTGATA